ACCAGTTTAAGTTCAGTACATCCCAAGACAGAAACACACAAACATACTGAGCCTGGGACCAAGTACTTCAATCTCATTGAAATGTTCACTGTGTGGTAGCACCCAAAGATGAGGCCCTCAGGACAGAAATTGAGATGAGAGCAATGAAAGCTGTTCGAGAAAATACTGCAAAGGTAGAAACTATTTGTACAGTTTATATGGGGTAGAAAGCTGAGGGTGAGATTGAACCATGCCCAGTTCCTGAGCTAACAGAGGCCTTGGTACCCTAGTAAGAGTCATGAAAACATTCAGAGCCAAAGAAAAGCAGAATCGGCTCCCGAGGCTGGCAAAGGTAATAGAGGATTTGTAATACTTTTCCCTCAATTAAATTCAAATCTCATTCCTCCTGGCTTCTTCTAAAGATGTCTCCCTTTTTCTCACCCACTCAGTGAAGCTTTGTGGCCAAGCAGGGCTGCACCCCACCCCTTGAATTCACCTGTCATGGAAGGGTGTCACAAAGTGACATGAGATGTCTCAAAGGAAGAGATTATTAAAACCGCACACCTAGACAAACACTGCTGATGACAGTGTTTCGGGGCATTTGTTTTGAAGTTGTGTGAGGGATTGACTTCTTGAACAAATTCTCCAAAAAATGCAAAACGGAAACAAGAACCAAAAGCAAAACATCTTTTAAGCTAAGGAAATTGTCATAAGCTTTCAATGTTTTACTTCGAAAATCCTACAGCCTTCAGCAAAATCCTTGGAAAATCTCTTCGTGTTTATAAAATAACATTTGATATCACCATCTAGAAACCTACAAACCAGTGCAACCAACCCTTTCTGAACTCTCTAAAGGCAAATAACAGCTGCATTTCCCCATGTGATGGCTAGGAAAAAAGTGCTGACTCTCAGTATTTTTAATTACAGAGTAAAATAACACCTCAGTGAAAAATCGTGGATGTACTATTATTTTAAAGTGTCAGGGTTGCTCCTTCAAACTGAGCCATAATTGGAGCAAAACAATCAGTGCATAAACCAACAGAACAGCTCCTCAGGTGTAACAAGGCACAACAGCTTATCGGCTTCAACAAGTCTTTTCACCGCATCACTGAATTAATTGGCTTATGTATGTCATGTTGTACTTGTTATGTACACCTGAGAATTTAAATCATTTCTCTGATTATATGTATAACAAAAAAAAAAGTATTCCCATAGCAGCATTTTGCTTTACAAGTCTAAAAAAAAGGTAGGTTTCTGTGCTTACTGCTCTAATGTGGCTAATGTTTAAATACAGCATGATAAGATATTGCCCGAGATCATTGTTTCGTCTATGTCGGAGAATCCTACACCTTAAAAATTGTAAATTAGAACAGGAATGTAAGTTTGGGTTCGATGAAAAAGTGTTTTCATAGTTCTTATTCCAAACTGTTGCTTCAATGTTGTGATCAACTTCAATAATTTCTCAACTCTTGACCAAGAATGCCCTAAAAAATACTTTCTTAAGGGCAGAGCCCTTGAAGCCCTACAACATTATAGTGTGCAGAGCAGAATATATTCTTTCCTGAGAAATCAGGGGTACTTTTTAGGGGTTAAATAGAGCATGGAGACTGGGAGAGGAAAAATCAACAGAAATTGTTTTGAGATACTCTAGAGTGACAACGACCTACCAAGGGGTCTGATCGGCCCTGGCATTAGTATTTAAAACTGACATATTCACAAAGCATTTAAAATATTTCCCCTTGGATTCCTATGTATTTGTTGCAATGAGAGTTTATACTGGAAAAATTAAGCCAAGTAAGCTATCTTAATTAGATATGTCTACCTGTTAATTTGGTTAGTGTGAGATAACCAAAACCAAATCAAAGCAAAAGAATCACCTGGAGCTATGAAGCAAAACTGAAAGACCTGTTGCTTTATACATGTATCCGTGTTTCCAGCAACTGCCTCTACTGAGCAGAGTTTTCCTGCAATGAGTTACAAGAAAAGTCAGTGTCTGTGGGTCTTGAGAAAAATTTCCAGTTTGTTCCAATAATAAATCATTTCAATAAATAATAAATCATGTGGATAATAACAATAATAAAGTTTTAAGTAGAAGCAGCTTTGCTTTTCATTTATTACAAAATCTTGTCCAGAAATAATTTTCTCATAGTAAAGGGTTTATAGGAAAGATGGTCACTGGAATTAAAACTAAGCTTGAAAGATGGCTAATAATACATAAACACAGGTAGAAGTCTTCAAAGCAACAGGTTTGTAGAAAATCCAGTAAGTTAACTAACGGCAGAAATCAGAGACCCGGGACGACAAGATTAGAGGGAAAGTCTTTGATTAAATAAATTGGTTTAAAAGCAACAATAACCTCGCAAGAACTCTTCTAGTATTTAAGATCCTGATGCCTTGACTATGGGCACAGAGACAGGTTTTTCAAGGAGGCCATGAGCAGGCAAGTTAATAACCAAGCTGAAATCATTCTGCAAGATTTATGGAACTTGCAGAGATTCTGCCCACACAAAGCTGAAAGGTTTAGCACAGAAAACCTGCCTTCGGAAGGCACTCTCTTATCAACTTCAGAGTGAACTCCAGCTCTGACTGAAACAATCTTTACAGAAGACTCCTCTGCAGTGCACAGGATAAATGTAAGAGACTGCAGTGTATTTTAGATTCTCAAAGTGAGGAAGTGAACATCAAATTTAAAAAGCACCTATTACTCTTTATCTGCAAGTCTTTCTGCCAAACGGTGAAATAAAATGACATGTACAATCTCACTTCTATCTTTTCTTTTAATCTATATACATGATTTGCTTCCCTTTACATTCCCCAGGTTAAATTACCAGAGGTAGGGTTTGATAAATTGAAGCTGAACTATAAATGGGTATTTTTGGTGAGGGGGGAAAGGGTTCTGCTTGTTCTAAATGTGTAAACTTTTTAATATATTGCCATTTTAACTGCTGGAAGAGTGCCATCCAGTATCCCAGAGTGGCAGGCAGGGCTTATTGCCTTTTTTATATGCTATTACAAAACTTTTTGGATTTTAAGCATTAGCCTGACTACTAACAGTCTCCAATTAAAGATGTAACAACAGGAGGCTACAGCAGTTTCTTTTTCATGCCATAAGTTCATTATTTCTATTTCCTGTTTTATTCAAGTGTTTCATTTAAAGTTTTGAAACTTTGATGATCTGCAGAAATGCAAACAAACATAAATCCCCTCTAAGTTAACCAGACAGCAGAAACATCCCCAGGTCTATGGATAGCAGTAGACATCAATTCTTCCCAATCCATGCATGATAAAGAGCAGTGAGAAATCCCTGGTTAGTTGTCATAAAAGCAGACTCCTTACCATTATCAGGTATGCAGAGCACAATCAAGCACGAGTTGTTTTGTTCAACCACCACACCAACTGTTCTTTCTTTTTAGTGACTTAAAAAAAAAAAACAGCACCTCACTGCCAGTGATGGCTGGGGGGGAAAAACTCCCAAGAGCTTTTAGGCTTCAGTAATTCAGGCCATCAAATTGTACTTCATTAAAGTGGTATGAAACAGTTCAATCAAGAGTTATGTCCCAGGTTGTAGCTGTTTGCCCCTGTCTCCTTCTCTCCTTTCTCTTACGGTTTCTTTCAGTAAATGAGACTAATTTTTCCAGTAGCCTTTAACTCACTAGATTAACTGCCGTGGAAAATGTGACTACGAACGCGTAGCACTGTCTAGCCTCCAACCCAGCACAGAATCAACTTTGTTCTAAGTGTTGAAGGACACCTAACAAGCTGCTGCTTGCTAAGTTCATAACCCAGGACTATAGACTGGCGAAGAGTAGGACTGCGCCATCTAGTTAGCTGCCAGAAGGCTCTGCTCTGCCTGTTGGGAGCGGATGCCTCGGGATGCAGGGCTTTAGCACATGGGAATGTTCACTTTCTTAAAGATTCAATTGTGTTGGCTTTTTTTTTTTTTTTTTAAATAAAATATCACTACCGGGATAATCCACATCTAGTGGATATGGGAAAATTTAGGCTATAATAGCCCAGCGAACTTCTACATCTTTGATTTACAAGATAAAAGCAACTTTTAAATTAAAGAGCCTTTCTGCTAATAGAGCTTATTATGCCAGAGACAGGAATGATTTTCCTAGAAAGTTGTCCCTGTGTGCATGCCTATTATCTTTGCTTTCCCCCTTCCACTAATGAGCATTTATCTAAAGAGCCTGTTAATCCTCTGATGTGTGCTTCTGGTCAGAGGTAACAGTTTGAATAAAACCACTAATCACTTATCACTAATCACTGATCATTAATCACACTTTTCCCTAGTGCTTTGCGACCTGTACAGCTCCCTTTAGGATTAAGGAGTCACAAATACGGATTTTAGCCATTTTTTATAAGGAATTTCCAGCTTTTGATACCGACAACTTCATTCACCACATGAAAGTTGCAAAGTACCGAGCAAAGACTTTCAACACTACACTTTTCCACTGAAAATAAACCATGCCCTTACGAAAGTGTCCCTCCTTCAGCAAAATCCCCACAAATTACACTATATTTTTGCATTTGGCTCTCACCTTCCACCTCTTATCCCTTTCTGGATTATTTCTGCATGACAGTGTCTTACAAGAAAGTTTTCCTCCACCACTGTTCCTTGACGCACTGCTGCTTGTCCAAATGGCCAGACAAGGAAAGTCTGGTGCAAGCCAGCGGGTGAGTGAGTGTCTCTGCAAACTGCACGGTCTCAAGGAAAGCTCAAGCAAGATGCTTCACAGTAATTACTATGAATCAGTCCCAGCTTTAATTTCATCTAGCTAAGCACTGTTTCTTACTGATAATATATGGAAATCTTCTAATCTTGCTTAAGATACTCCTAGTATCGTTCTGGATTAAAAAAAAAAAAAAAAAAAGAAGAAAAAAAGAAAAAAAAAAACACCCACAAATCAAACATATGGACATTTCATTTTCCTTTATTCCTACCCCCATCTTTGAACGATCTCTCGCTTGCCGATTGTAAAGCTTATATTAAGCCCTGGAGATGAAGGATCACTCACCATGCTTGGACATAAATAATACAGGAGGCAGAGTTTAGCAAGTATTCCCCTTACACTCCTGAAGCTCTTATCGTCCTGAAAACTTCGCTGGGAGAGAGAGAGACCCCTGTAAGAGAGGACAGTGGCGGGGGAGCGCGGAGCGATGAGCGGAGCAGCGGGGCTGGAAAGGGAGAGTGCGGCTGCCGAGACGGGACCTTGTCAGTGCTCTTCCCCCCCCGCCCGGACCAGCCGGCATCAGGAACGGAGCATCAGCCCCGCACCGGCCCGCAGCATGACGTCAGGGCCGGGAGCAGCCCTGCACCCCGGGTGTTTCACGGGGACAGGCGGCCGGGCGCCGCTCCGCGCACCGCGCATTGCTCCGCGCAGTGCTGCCGGCGGGTCCTGGCTCGGAGGGGAGCCCGGACGCCGCCGCGAAACTTGTGCAGAAGTTTTGGGGCGGCGGGGAGAGGGGACGGCGGGGCAGCCAGCCGCCGAGCTGTCACTGCCCGCTGCCGCCGGGGCACGCAGGGACGAGGAGCCGTCCAGCCCGCCGCGGGGCGCGGGGATACCGCTGCCCCTCCGCCGGCTCCTGCCGGCACCGCTCGGGCAGCGCACAGCGAAGTGCTGCCTGCGCCCCGCAGCAGCCTCCCCATCCCATCCCATCCCACCCCATCCCGGGAAGCCGCACGCAGACACTTCCCAAACTCCCCGAGGTGCGTGCGGGGAGCCCGGCTGCCCTGCCGCCGTGCACCCCCGGCTCCCGCCGCCTTGCCTGACCCTCTGCGGGGCGGCAGGGCACGGCGAGTACGGGGGTTCGACGGGATCCCCGCGCCCGGCAGCGGCGCTGCGGTGGCCAGCGCTCCCGCCTCCGGAGCGGATGCGGTGGCAGAGGGAAAAGCTCCGCAGCTGCGGGCTGCCCCGTCCGCAGGCGCTCAGCCCGGCGCTGCTGCCCCGCTCCGCTCCGAGCCGAGCCGTGCGGCGGAGCGCGGGGTGCACTGCGCGCCGGGCGCCTTCCCGGGGCTGCCCCGTAATTTTAGGAACTTACCGCCCGGCGGGGACGGGACCGGCAGCGCGGCCGGAGGAACCACGTTGGACTGAGGGACGGTTACAATACGTTCTATTTAGAGAAGCATTACATCACCCTCCGTGACGTCACGTGGGATTCCTGAACTTCTAAATCATTGCGGTCCGTGCCGGGGGGGGGGGGGGGGGAGGCCGGGCGCGCGGGGCGGGGCGGGGCCTGAGCCAAGCCACGCCCCTTTCGACGGGGCAGGGGGCGGGTGCGGGGCTGAGTCAGCCGGGAAGCAGCGCCCCGCCCCTCGGCGGGACAGCTCGGCGGGAACGGGAGCTCGGGGCTGAGGGCGCGCAGCCCGGGAGGGGATGGGGTCGTCCGGTGGCTGCCCCCCCCCCGCCTGCCTCCCTCCCTCTCTCAGGCTGGCAGCTTGGCGGAGCGCTGCACCGATGCGGTGCTGGGGGCTTGGGGCTGTAGGGAGGCGGTTCTGCGGCCGTGCTCAGGGGCTGCCCCCGCTGGACGACAGCAGCAGGGGCGGACCGCGCTCGGCTTCTGCAGTCCTCAGCTCTTCGGGGATTTTGTTTGGTGTCTATCCAGAAACTGGTTAATAAATAACGCGGTGTTCGAGAAGGGTGGGAAACCTCCGTCCCGAGCGGCAGCTCTGCGAGGGTGCGCCTCCTCAGCCTGCTCAGGTGTTGCTCTGTCCGTGCGCGTCCTTCTCCGCTGCTCCCGGTCCATGCGTGCCCTCCTGGCAAGGCTTGGGTGCCGGACAGGACCCAGGGGCACGCAGCAGTAAAGAATCTGAACTGAACTAGGTGATCGTTAAGGTCCCTTCCAACCGAAAGTGTTGCGTGATTCTATACAACCAGCTATGTCACTGCTTTTCCAAGGTCTAACATTTTGCATCTACTTGGCGGTGTGTCTGCTATTGTCTGGGACATTGCCGGCGATGAACGTATTATTCCACCCTGTAACTACCTCAGTGCCTCCTTTTCTGTGTTTTCGTGTATTAAGAATACTTTCTCTCAGCCTAATGCTCCTCAGCAGTGCCTCTGCCACCTGGGTCTGGAGGTTCCGATACGATAGCACCTAGCTATCTATTGCTGTAGTTACGTAGGAGGCATTCTTATCAAAGACTCAAGTGGTAATTAGCTGTATTTAGCCGCTGATTCATGCCAGGAGGCATGACTTAATTTCGATGCAGTGTTTTAGTACCTAAGCATGGAAGGACCTGTAGGGAAACGTCGGTGTTCCAAGGCAGGGTCTTAGTCTCTTAAACGTATCACTTGGTTTATTTTTTTCTGATAATCAGTTAACAGAAGAGAGAGTAATATAACATGTACTGCCAAAATCAGGCACGACTTTACAAATAACAATAATACAGCACTTTACTCCCAATAATACCATTATTTTGCAAGCTTATATTAGGATATCTAATAGTCTTCCTCAGCTTTTAACAATTCATTGGTGCTTTATGCAAGATTTAAGCAGATAGAAGCGGATCCTATCAGTGACTGATGATAGGTTTTGGAGTCATTTAACTACTTAAGATAAGGCTCAATGATGCTGTCAGTGTAAGCCTTCGTTTTGTCAGGTATTATCCTTGGAAATTTCATATGGAGTGCAAAGTGCCTTACCTCTAAATGTCCTGAAATTATAAACTACAGAGATGACTAAACTCATCATTGCAGTTACTTCTGTTGCACAGGAAGGGTTTTAACACACAGAAACACTGCGGATTTTTTAAGACCATGACAAAAAATTTGAGTGCAGGAAGCAGCTCTGCATCTCTCATTGAGATTTCATCATAAAACTTATGTACTCACACCTTACAGACACACAGCTGGGACTGTGGCTAATCAATGAGTTTTCGTGGGGTAGGCATGGCGGGTTTTTATCCAGGCTTCTTCATGAGACCAAACTGGAACAGGCAACACAGAATTCAGATGCTAGTAAAGGATCACAGGGCCCAAATCCTCCAGGTACTTGTGTAGCAAGAATCAGTTATGGCAAATCTGACACAGATAGAAGCAAACAAAATGCTAGGTGAAGTATTAGCCACAGTTTTATGTTATCAGTCTGGTGGTGATGCTTTCTTATGAATTATATTGTAGACCCCGTGTGACTTGTACACAGATTATAGTGAATAAATAAGTGCACCCACTGTGGGTATGCACTGTGCTATAATTTAACACATTTTGTTTAAAGTTCCTGACATGTATAATCTGCATGTCCTTCTGCCCTGTCAAGAGTGTTATGCAAAAAGATACCCTAAAGCAAGATGGAAAAGACTGCCACATTAGTCAGATCAGTAACTTTATGTGCCACATACCTATTTGGACAGATCTCTACCACTTAATGAGAGAGGCAGCTTGCAACAGTGGTTTGTGTATGTCTGACACTATAAGAGTGATGACAAATGCTCTGCTAGGTGGTTATGCTGTTTTTTGCTGACAGCAAAGCAGAGAGATTCTGGATTCCTGAAATGAGTCTCAGGTCCTGAGGGAAGACTTTTGACTCTTGAAATGAGTTATGGTCTGGGGGGGTGGGGAGGAAGAGTACAGAACAGAGTCAACGGTTCCTCTTGGGCTTGAATCTGCTGCAGTATGTGTCACTATCGTTGCTTCGCTCCATGCCCAGCTTCTCCTGTGCTTGTCACCCTCAGATCCCATTCCTCTCCTCCCTCTTCCAGGTCTTTCCTTCTCCATTTCCACATTCTTCTTGCCAGTTACCAACCTTCTCTCCACCCTAAGGCAACCACTCTGGTCTCTGAATGGGGATGTGAAAAGGAGCACTGAAAGATGCAGCCTTGTTTTGTTTTATGTTCACTTCAGCGCCTGGTGGTTGAGCAGTTTACAGAGAAAATGTGTTGATCCCTCCAGTCTGAGAACACTGAGCAGAGAAGAGACATTGAGAAAACATAACTGCAGAGTTCCTTCTTGATGCAAACTGTGGGATGACAATAGGACAAGAGGAGCCCACTGCCTGCAAAGCTGCTGCTTTCAAGCTGAGCTGATATCTGCTTGTGTGTTGGCGCTATGAGGAACAACCCTTAACATGAACTCCCATAAAGGTGGTTTAGATTAGCATAGTCTACTCAGCAGATGAGGGCTATGCCTAGAGTCAGTTACCACAGCTCAGCTGACAAGCCATAACTTGAGAACGTTCTCTATATGGGGGACAAATTTGGGCAAATCTTAGAGGGTATTCAAAGGCATCTCCAGTGACAGCAAGACAATCATTCTGCAGAGCTTCAGGCTCCTGCTCCAAAAGCACTAGGTGTTTCCAGAAAAAAAACAAAACACACAACAACAAACAAACAAACAAAAAAAACAACAACCAAGCCCACAACACAAAAACAAAACTCTTGTGAGATATGGGATAACGTTGGCATGGTAACTTACCTTTTCTGGAATGTTTTCTGGAATCATTGAATTTTGGAAGTGGCTTTCCAAAATACTCCCTCCTAGGGCAGGCACCAGGCGTGGAAAACTCCATCCTGAATGGTTCAAAACTTGGCAATGTTTTTTAAGTGATTGAAGAAACTTTTAATGACAAATACTGAGCCACCAACTACACGAGGCACAACCTGCTTTATCTATAGTGCTGTTTCATAACTAATTTCAAGGCAGAAAGCTTTTACAAAGCTGTTTTCTTCTGATGGAAAAATCCCTATTTAAATACTTTTCTGCATTATATGTTCTAATAAATGTTTTCCAGATAGGTCTTTGTCAGTTTTATTCTTTAAGTATAAAAAGCCCAAAGAAGAACATACCCTTTACAGCAGTAGCTTAACTGGTATGAAAACTACTCAGACTTTTGCAGTGGAATGAGTTAGAATGACATTTTGTTTGATTGATAGTAAATGGCAGTAGTGCTGTTTCAGCAAACACCTAAAATCTTTGTCATATCATTAAAATCATTGGGAAGGAAAGATATTAAAATAATTACAGGAGTTTTGTATGTCAAATATCAGTCTCAGTAAGACACTATTGCTGTCACATAAAATTAATATTTACTGCTGGCACAATGGAATATTTTACATACCCATTCTTACTATAACATCATTAACCACGTTTAACTAAGCCGCTGCCAGTGTTGAGTGTTACTCTCAGCTTTGGCACTTGCAATTATCTCGTTACAAGTACTTTGCAGCAATATCTTTTTAGCTAATCGGACAGTAATTTATTCGCCTCCTTCCATGCTACTGAAAGTTTAGATCTCCACATTTATCATGTGAAAATATCTGCACAAAGTAAAAAAAACATCACTCAGCATTCTTTCTTTTTAGTAAAGATCTATACTAGTCACACAGAAGTGAAGCTTTGAAATGAAATGGTAAGGGGAAAAATTGATTTCTAGATCTTAGCATATGCTTTAATCCATGATGATAGTAGAATGTGTTTTAAAAGGGGGTATAAATTATGCTATTTAATGTATAATAATCTGAGTGCTAGCCTGAACAAATGTAAATCTGGTGGGTTTATGAAACACTCAATTCCTTCATTATTACATCTCTGTTCAGATCTCTACTTCTTTTAGGAACAGACTGAAAGGGATATGAGCAAAGGGAACCAAGTACCCTCTACGGTTGGAGAGGCTCGCTAGGAAGAACCGGATTAGCCTTAA